ATTGAACGATCAAACCTTTAAACAGTTAGGATCGTCTCAAATTCCCATCTTGGTCAAACCTTTAAACAGTTAGGACCAAAGCCAAAATCCCCTCTCGATTCGTTCCATGAACGAGAGGTCCACAAATTGAACGATCAAACCTTTAAACAGTTAGGATCGTCTCAAATTCCCATCTTGGTCAAACCTTTAAACAGTTAGGACCAAAGCCAGAGACAGCAAAAGCTGTCTCGCGAACCTGTTTTCTGCCAACTGTTCTTGGAGGATATAAATACCCTCCTAAGGCCATTTTTCCAAAGGGCTGATCATTGTGAGCACTTCAGAGCAATCCAGAGCAGAGAGAGAGCAGAGGTGCTGATCTTACGGCCAATCTTTGAAATTGAGCTTTGACTTGATTTCAAGAAGAACGACTATCTTACATCGATAAGATATCGTTTCAATTTCTCACTTCGATAAACGAAGTCAGAATCATAAACCCCTCACGGTTCAATCAGAATCTGTGACTTGGTGGTCCACGAGTCAAAGCGCTCCCGGCACAGGCAAAGATCCCACGAAAGCAGTGATCCAAACAACGATCCTGCGTTTATTTTCTCAAGAGTTGTAATTTTCTTTTTGTTGTGTAAAAGAGTCTTATAAAAAGGCTGTTTTCTTTGAATTTATTATAATCGACCGAAGATATAATGAATTCGACAACAAATTCGACTTTTGGCGAAAACAAGGGTTAGAACCTGGATCTCTAATGCAGTGAGAAAATGCAATACCATTTAGCCTAGTAAGTAGTAACTCTGTACCACATAAACATAAAACACATTACATAGCATGAACTGTGCAAAACCCAATAATTTTACTCTACAGATAAATGTTCATAGAATTCATTGAAGACCTACAATAATTTTATCTAAAAATATAGCTCATGTAGATTTAAAACAGAACCAGGGTAATCAATTAAAAAAGTTCTAAAATTAGCTTGTGAATGTCATAAAGAAAACTTCTAATGTTTTAATACCAGAAGGTAAATGTGCAGGTTTTAGAAACTTCAGAGTATATAAGCGTTGACAAACACAAGTGAGGTGCAAGTGTACAGTAAAGAAAACTGTAAGGCAAAGTTTGGTTCTTTAGAGAAGCACATTAAAGATAGGATTGAGACTTAGTGGGATTAGGATACTAAGTCTCATTTCCATCTCTTATAAATATTAAAACATTATCAAAAACCCTAAAAATTTCAAATTTTGCAACTAAACCCTAAAGATTTTACAGAAAACACCAAAAGTTTCAAAAGATTCAAATAACCCCTGAAATTTTAAAGAAAACACCTTAAAGGTTTAAAAGTTGTAAATAACTCCCTGATATTTTGCAAAAAACAACCTAATATTTATAGAAAATCCCCTAATGTTTTGCAAAATACCCCCTAACTTTTAAAGAAAATCCATCAAAATTTTCAAAAATTGCAAACGACCATCTAGGAATTTCGCTAAGAGGCCTACAAAATAATTTTGCAAACACCCTCTAAAGTTTAAAATTTTTTCAAATAACACCCCAAAAACATTTAAAGTTACAAACAACCCCCATAGCATATTGTGTAATACATAAGGTGAGTGTGTAATGAATATGAGAAGTCTTATGATGTTAATACTAGGGGGTAGTGAAACTTCCTAATACCTATTTTGGGGATTAGATAGATGTCTCAATCTCACCCATGTTCTAGTATCTAGCGAACCGAACTTGGGATGTGATCGAACTTATGAATAAGAGGACCAGATACCTTTTCATTTTTAAGACCTTTAAATGCACAAACTCATGTATATAATGAGCAAACGAGAACAAATTAAGAGTTCTAGTCTCTCAAATTATCTAAGTTTTAGGCTAGAACTATTTCATAAAAAAAAAACTAAAACTCTCCTATTAATTTCTTACTAGGTGGGATGCATGCGCATTTCATGCGGTCAAATATTTTAATTATTTCTTTTGAGTTTATATCTTCACTATAACTACATTGTGGACATGATTGTTTTATAGCTTGAATTTATTTTGTGAACAAAAAAAAAAGAAAAAAGGAAAAAGCTAATCAAAACTAGAAAAATTAAATTCAGGAGAAAGTATTATGAGGAGTTTTTGAGTATTTACATATAATAATACATAACTTTAAGAGTGAAATGAGTAAAAGCTATCTACCAAAACCATGTGAATTAGGGATGATGATCAGTTGACCGATTTTTTAGTTTTTATTGTATTTATCACCTTAGTAAATTAACTTTAATTAAGTAGCGCGAGCGCGCGCACACACACATGAAGTAGTTTTTCAATATCAGTCTCTTAAATCATTGGTATTTTCTTATTAGTCTCTCACATCTTCATATTTTGATATTAGACTATCTCCGGCAGGAGTCGAAATTTTAACCTTCTCTCTCCTGCCACATCACTTTATTCCCCCTCCACATAATTCAACAATCTTCATTTTCTATCATCTCTACAGTAGGAGTTTTTTCAAAAGATTTTTACTTTATTTGGGACCCACTACTACCCCATCCCTCCAACATATATACCCCACCTTATTTATTCATTTCTTTATCTTATTTCATATATATTACTACTACCCCATCCCTCCAACATATATACCCCATCTTATCTCATTAGAATAATTTTGTGAAGGATCCATTTGAAAAAGTTTGAAGAATATAGAAGCAAAAGCAAAGAGAAGGAGAATAAGGTGTTGAAAACTCAGATTTTTTTTTGTGTCCAAATTACACAAGACTAATCTCTATTTATAGAGGTGAAATAATAAAAATTATTGATATAAAAATTATAAATTAATTCCTAGTATTTATCTCCCAAAATATCATTTAAAAATTAAGAATAAAACAAAAAAGGCCAACCAACCAAGCCTTGACACATGGCTCCAAGCATGGGCTAAGGACAATTCGCGGGATCCATGAGGTTAGAAAAACCGGAGGTGAAAAATTCACCCATCCGATTTCGGTTTTCCAATTCACCCCTCCAAAAACCCCCTGCTGGAGCCAAAAACCCCCCAAAAAAACCCCTGCTGGAGATAGTCTTAGGGAGTGAGTAGGGAGTGAGGGGATGAAATTCCCAAATAAAGGGGAGCCAGCTATAAAAAGCGACTGGGAGGTAAGAGGGGGGCACGTACGGCTCAGATCTCGTCTCTTAGAGCCAGATGGCAAATTTCATTTACCCTCGTTGTTTTGAGGAATTACCAAAATGTCATCATTCCACGTGAAAAATTTTGCTCCAGGGCCCAGCAGTTGAATGGCAGGACTCAGCGGGATTGGACGGGCAGGGGTGCATCCCGGAGACCATATAATTGAATATTTGTTATTCTATGTCATTTCATGTCACGAAAATACAACCGGAGACCATATAATTGAAATATTTGTTATTCATTATTTGTTGTACATTTTCATCTAGATTATTCTATGTCATTTCATGTCACGAAAATACAACCGGAGACCATATAATTGAAATATTTGTTATACTTTAGTTTGTAAGAGATACAAAGCGAAAATGATAGATTCTAAGATAAAGAGTAAATATATATAATTGAAAAAGTCAAAGTTCTATGCATAAATCTATACCATAATTATTTATACTTATATATAAAGGTAAAAAACAAAGGATGAAGAAATTAGTGGAGGGTTTCAAGTTCAAATAATGAAGATACAAGATAATTGGCTCTTGAAAATTACCTAACCCTTACTCGCCTCAATCTATTAAATGCATACCCCTCCATAAATAAAACGAAATCATTTATCATATCTCAAATAATAGAATTTTAAGAAATAATACGTTATCATATCATGTGCATTTGCTGGTGTCAAATCTCTAGATTAAGACGATAAGCATACATTAACCGTAACGTTAGAGCCACAGAAATTGATAGTACCAATAGATGACCTTAACAATATAAGCCTACAAGAGAGAGCACACAAATGTGAGCATTTATAGATCATTGAAAATAATGTACACTTAAAATTTGTCACTATACGCTAGTATACTCTTCATTACTCCATTTCTCTTCTTCATTCATCTAAGACAAATCAACGCAAACATGATAAAGCTAGAGTTTTGTGATTTAAGCCAAAATGATGCTGAAGAGAATCAAATCAAGCAACATTCACGATGATACACGAGCAAGATCCAAGAGATCCAACGATTTTAGAGTACTGCTCACCCGATCGATCCATTGGCGGGAGTCATCGGTGTAATCGAAGGCGGGATCCTCGAGGATCTCCGATTTGAGGCGGGCGTATATCTCGACGAACCTCGACTTGGCATCGACCGTGCTCCCGTTCGAATCCATACCCAAACATTATGAAAACTCGTAGGATATATGTTTTAATTTCAAGCACTTGTCAGTGACTTCTTGGTCGTATATCCTACAATTCACATCCATTTCTTGAACCGCACTAGACATAGGTTGGGTTTATTTCAGCTCGTACCCAAGTTCAAAACTATAATTTTAAAGGGTTAACTAGGTGTCTAGTTCAAAAAACAAGTAGCCTCCAATTTATAATAATCAACACAAATAAAGAAGCTCAAATTTTGATTGGAATTTCAACTATAATAACAAGTGAATTTAAAAACAATAATAATCTCATACGGGTTACCCGACCCAACCCATATAACTAGAATGACCCGTTTATCAAATACAAGACACATCCTAACACATATAACTAGTAAAAAATTTTATACATACACAAAAAAACACTTCTTGCAAGCTCTTTAGACAAAAACTCTCTCTACTTACAACATGGATTTATTTCAAAGACATATGCAATATTTAAATGTACTTCAACGAATTGCAAATATCAACAAACAAAAATACATCGATGCAACTCTTTAGACACAGAATAATCTAAACTAAGAACTAGCATCAAAGAAAATACATCGATGCAACTCTTTAGACACAGAATAATCTAAACTAAGAACTAGCATCAAAGAATTTAACACAAGTAAATAAAGAGAATATACACAAGTTTACAACAAAATAGTTAGGAACTTGATTGCCATTATCATAGTACATCTCCAAATTTACAAAAAATGCAATTACAGTTTACAAAAAATTTAACTGTCCCATCTCCAAATTTACAAAAAATGCAATTACAGTTTACAAAAAATTTAACTGTCCCATCTCCAAATTTACAAAAAATGCAATTATAGTTTACAAAAAATTTAACTGTCCCATCTCCAAATTTACAAAAAATGCAATTATCGGGCATCGAAACTCGTCTTATCTGCCCTCAGCTTCGTCTTCTCGTCTCTAAGTTCGTCTCTAATCACAGGGTCTTTCATCAGGTCGAGGGTTATCGGGCAGCAAAACTCGTCATGGATGTTTAAGACCATGGAATTGAATGAAGGTGACGATGACACGGACCAAGACGATGATCGGTTGGGCTGCCCTGCAACTAAATCTTCTGAAAAGAAATCAAAATAGTTCAATGTTGTGCCTCGACTTTTCAAATGCAAGCTTGCCTGCCGGCAAAAATATACCATAATGAAATCCACAATCATCCTCTGTGACCAGTATCTGTTAGCTAAATAGAACACCAGCAAATATATATCTTATTCCGTGTAAACTGGGACCGTAACACATAAATTCCATGCAAAACACAATGATCCCAAAAAAAGAAGAAATAGATTACTGAATGTGAATACAAATAATATGAAATATACATACAAAAAATTTCAAAGGTATCAGCAGGGACATAGCATACGTCCAGACTGAGCATCCTTCCTATGCATTTAGGTTACTTTCGCAGAATTTTCCAGAATGAATGACTTAAAAAACAAATAAAAACATAAATCTTATGCCCTTTAATTTTCCAGTCCAATAAACAAGCTGGACTGCTGTATTCTGATTCTTCTCCTCATTTATCTACTTAAGCTCATCAACTTTGTACTGTGAAATTCTTCCCCCTTAATCTATTCTGCAAGATGTTTCTTCTTCAAGAATTCATTCAACCATAATATATAAGGGAAGCCAACACCCATGTGATTAACTTTGTCAACCCTACACAAAGGAGAGCCGGTAGAGGTTCTGATTCTTTTTTACCTTACTTAAAACTAAGTAGGAATTTATCAAAATTTCAAGTCATAACAGCACAAAGCCCTCTTCAACATTAAGAAGATTTTCTTCTTTTTTAAATGAAGGACAAGGTAATAAACTACAAACTTTGCCGGTGACATGCACACTAAAAGCTTACTGATGAGTTCCATCAAAATCAACTCTCTCTCCGGTAGAAAAGAAATCCCAGAATAAGAGTAAACTTAAAATGAATTCAAAGAACCTCTTTGGACAAGAATTTATTTACCTTTTAAAGAAGAATCTCGTTGAGTACAAGGAAGTATGTTCAAAACAAGAAAATAATAGATACCACTTAAAATCCAAATTTATCTTTAAATGTCCAATTTCTGTGTATGCGACAAAATTTTTGTGTAAATACTAATGAAGTGTGCTTATGTTGGACACGTGTTGGACATGAAAACTTCCTCCATGCTATCAATCAACCATTTCATTATTGTTGCTATGTTCTTTTCTTCAAACACAAATTCTAGAAAACATATAGTAGTGATAATGAAGTCTGTGCATACGAAAATTTATTCACCTCCATATATAGATAGCCAACTAATTAAGTGAAAAGTGAGGCAATGTGCTTACTATTTAAGATATATAATCACATAAACTTTTATATATATGACATTTATTATCTTGAAAGAATTCAATTGATGTAAAGCTAATTCTTGCTAAATAGGACACATATGTGTAACAATTTCAAACATTTATTGTCATACATCCTACTGATGTTTCTAACATCGACAAACTATTGGTGTTGCTTCCACCAAGTCCAGCGTCGAACATCTCAGTAATGTAGTTAATACGAAGCATCATTTTAGTCTTGTGCCAGATGTTTCTAACCATCATGTGCATGTTTATCTCTATTAGCACCACTACTTTACCTAGTGCTACTGTCAGTAGACTCATTACCATAGCCATTCATTGCCAACATTACGACGATCATCATCAAGTCAAGTGTCATCGTCCTTGTCATTGGCATGCATATAAATAAAATAAAATCCCTTTTCTGCATTTTCTAAATTCTGTAATGTCTTAGTTGTTATTTTGACAATATTTTTATAAATACATTAACAAAATTAATGTACATAAACTGCTCCATCCAAACTATATGATGTTTATTAGTAAAAATATGAATAATATAATTTTGTAATTCCTGAGATAGGTCTTTATTTCTACAATATACAATTGTTAAATGATGCCACTGGTTTTCTAAATTTTCACTTCCTAAAGACTATTCAGGATATAGATATTCATTTTAATGGGTGGTAATATAAGATCGCTGATCAGAGTGCGCATTCTTTCCTAAATTGCAAAATTGATATGTGGATATAGATATTCAATAAATCTATAACTAGAGAATTTTGGGCTAAAAGCAAAATTAGAAAAGTAGAAAAGGGGAAAATGGAGAATAAGAGAAGGAGAGGGTTAAAAAATTACAGCGGGCTCCTCGACGTCGTCGCCGCCGCTCGAGCTTAGTGAAGGGAAATCTAGGGCTTCTGTTTTTTTCCCCTCTGCATCGCGTTTAAGAAGAACAAGAGACGAAGGGGTAGTCGGGTCTGCCAGCTGTTCACCTGGGTAATTTCGGGTTATACGATGGGTTAGGCGGGTAAGACGGGTCAACCCATCTAATAAATGGGTAATTTCAGGTTGACCTATTTATGACCTGACCCATACCTAATATAAATGGGTCGGGTCGGGTCATAAATTGCCACCCCTAATGTGGTCCCATATTTGAATGAGTGGAGGGGGATGTGACACATCACTACCAAGCACAACTTTTTGTGCTTGGTACCAAGCATACCCATATTGCTCATATATATATAATAGATATATATATATATATATATATTATATATTATTATATATTATATATTATATATATATAGTATACATATACATACATATGTACATTGTAGATACAATATGTACCATATGTCATATTACATATTACCATATGTATATACATATGTACATCATATATATATATATATATATATATATATATCATATATATATATATATATATATATAGTGCTCGAAAGTGATTTCTAAGGTGACACATTAGATGTTTCACCTAAGGACGCAGGCCTTAAAAATCACATCAATTCCCTAATTGCTTTTTTGCCGAATCCTCTCCGCTTACTTATTCTACACGTTTTAAACCTAAACACGACCAATTTTGGGGTGAGCCCGTCCGGTGTTTTGACCCTTCATCCACTCGCCACATAATTTTAACGGTTTCGATGAATTAGAACGTTTTACACGGACTTAACGATTAGGCGCTCAAAACACGACGGTTTCACCTAAAATTGTGCTGTTGTTTGTGTTTAAGAACGTGCTAGATCAAGTTCAACGCGAGCGCGATCGAGAAAGTTTTTTATATTAATAAATGAGTGGCTAGGAAGTTTAGTGGACATCATACTATAAGCTTCGAATAGGAGAGTCTTAATATATATATATATATATATATATATATATATATATATATATATATATATATATATATATATATATATAGAGAGAGAGAGAGAGAGAGAGAGAAATGTAGGAATACCAAGCATAAGTTTTGTGTTTGGTAGTAAGGTGTCTCGTTCTCATCCACTTTCCAACCCATATGAATGTCCCTCATTTAAATGAGTAGATGTAAATGAGCCACCTCACTACCAAGCACAAAAACTTGTGCTTGGCTACACACACACACATAAACATATATGTATATATACATGTATGTATCTATATACATATATGCATAGGTACACATATATACATATACATGTACATACATGCATAGATATGTGTGTGTGTGTATAAAGTATTTTCGTTGCACATAGGCATAGTTGTTTGATGTTAAAAATTTTAAATGTGGACGGTAAAATGATGAAGTGAATCAATGGGAAACTCTCGATTCATGTGCTTAAGCTGGTTAAGATTTTACTAATATTCATTGGAACAAAACATACAGACTTAAGATTAATCATATTTTATGGTAATTAAATATTCATGTGGCTCCTTAGAATCATATTTCCCATATATATATATATATATATATATAAATTTGATATTATCGCCGAGTTAACGGATTTGGGAGTTTTCCGCTAGGATAAATAGGATTTTTAATCGGTTATCTTTTTTATGGGTTTATCTGCGATTTAACGGTGATAATATAGGATATCGACCGATAAGAGAGGCTAAAATTATCGTGTTTATCAGCTGGGTTTTTTAAGTTGGATTGTTGAGTTCTTAAACCCGACCCGACCCGTTTTGACAATAAAATGAAACTTTTGCCCTAAACTTCATGAATATCTCTTTCTCTCTATGCGGCTGTTCTCCGCGTCTCTTCGTGAATATTTGTGAACTTCATCGCTCGACGCTCGCCTCGCCTTCGTGAACCTCATCGCTCGCCTCGCCTTCGTGAACCTCGCCGCTCGCTCGCCTCCCCGACCTTTAGCCCTAACATTCAGCCCTAACCTCGTCGCTCGCCTCTATGAACCTCCTCGCTTGCCTCACCTTCGTGAACCTCATCGCTCGCTCACCTCTGTGAATCTCCGTGAACCTCGCTCACCTCGCCTTCGAACTCTAGCCGTCCAGCGAGATTTACTCGACCAGATATCTACTGCTCAGTTTTTTTTCACTTCGCCGCTCGCTCGCCTCCCCGACCTTTAGCCCTAACATTCAGCCCTAACCTCGTCGCTCGCCTCTATGAACCTCCTCGCTTGCCTCACCTTCGTGAACCTCATCGCTCGCTCACCTCTGTGAATCTCCGTGAACCTCGCTCACCTCGCCTTCGAACTCTAGCCGTCCAGCGAGATTTACTCGACCAGATATCTACTGCTCAGTTTTTTTTCACTTTTTCTTTTAAGTTCATTATTCTCTTCATGTTCTACGGTGAAGCTATGCTATATTGGGGTTGAATCCAACTCAGTCAGACTTTTTCTTATTTAGTTCATTTCTTCTCGTCCGGTTACGATTATCTCCTCTTCTTTCTTTTTTTTCCCCTTCCTTTGCTCTCTCTTCTCTGAAAAAAAAAATTATCTATGTTTGTCACTTTCATCAATACTTAACTTGACATTTATAAGTCTTTTCTGTAAGAATTTCTGTGAAATTTTAGGATTTCCCCATATATGTGTTAAAATACTGTGACTTGTTGTGAGACTTGTATAACAAATTAGTTACAACTTACAAGTCTTAAAAGTTTTTTCACTGCAATTAGTTTATATCAAACTTGTAATTAATTTTAAGAAAATACTTGTGAGACTGTATAAGCAAATTTAATTGTAATTACAATTAATTTTGAGCAATTAGTTTTAACTGCAACTACTTTAGCTAATTATAAGTTTATAACTCGATCAATAATCTCTGAGTTTCATTGAATCTTGATGTCATTTTGATCTCAAGATTGCAACAAAATAAAACTGACTGATGTTAGGCATAAAATTTTATGACGTGATGAAATAAATAAAAGAAATATACACTTGTGCAATTGTGTTTGCCATTTTATTTTCAAACTTGTGTTCACAGGATCAATATCTTTTAAATGTTAACAAGAGAATGTATTCTGAATGCCAAGCATCTGATAAACCACCAAAACCAGGCGGTAAAGATTCTTGTTGGCATATGGTGAGCAGGTTGGTAATGATGCTTTAAAGGTTCGTTGCAAGCTTTGTGGGCAGTCTATGTGTGGAGGTATAAGCCGGTTCAAACAACATTTGGCTGGAATCAAAGGGAACTGTATGCCGTGTGAGAAGGTCACCGAAGATGTGAAGAAAAAAGTTAATGAAATCATTGATAGTGTCAAGAAGAATAAGGGTGCAAAGGAGTTGAAAATGCGGGATTTACTCGATGACATTCATATAGGGGAGGAAGAGGGATATGAAGGGAGTGTGACCGCATCTACTCAGAGTCAGAGAAGCTCATCATCATCTTCCTTCAAGACGAAAGGGCCAATGGACGCTTTTGCGGGCCGCTCTCATGAGTTGGTCGAAGTAGTATTAAAAATGAAACAACAAGTGATGGACAGCAAGTACAGGAAAAAGGCAAGAGATGATGTGAACAGGTACATCGGGAGATGGTTCTATGAAGCCGGCATCCCATTTAATACCGCAAGTATTCCTTCTTTCATACAAATGGTGCATGCAATTGGAAAGTTTGGAGCCTTCTTGGATGCTCCGACACCATATGAATTGAGGGAGACTATTCCGCATAGAGAGGTGGATGAGACAAGGGAGAGTGTTGAAAAATTTAAGAAAAGTTGTGCACTTAACAGGTGCTCCATACTGACCGATGCTTGGAGTGATCAGAAGATGAGAAGTATTATGAATATAGTTGTGCATTCAAATGGAGGAACATCATTTTTGGGTTCATGTGATGCATCGGACGACAAGCATAATGCGAATTATATATGCAACTATGTAGAGAAAGCAATTGAAGAGTTGGGGGTGCAGAAAGTCGTACAAATTATCACCGATGGAGCTTCAAATAACATGGAACCGCAAAAAGCTAAGCAATTAAGAAGCTAAATATATTTTGGACAACTTGTGCGGCGCACACTATTAATTTGATGCCAGCCGATAAAGCCAAAATAAGATCTATTCGGAGTGCAATTGCAATGGGAAGAACCATGTCAGTGTACATCTATAGCCACATGAGATATCTTCATGTGATGAGAGAATTTGCACGGGGAGACCTTGTGTACATCTATAGCCACATGAGATATCTTCATGTGATGAGAGAATTTGCACGGGGAGACCTTGTAAGACCCGGGGTGACAATTTTGCCCTGCCGCATACCCATACCCGCATCCATAACGATACCCGTACCCAATGCAAACTTAGATGGCTACCAATTTCTCCAGATGCTTGGGCACTTTCACCAAATATGAGCCTGAAGATCAGCGTCCCTCTTAGCAAGGCAGTAGCCCAACCGCCAAGGATGGTGCATGACTAGGGGTGCATTCGGTCCGGATACGGCTCCCGTATGATGCCTACCATATCCATATCAGCTTACTCATCTCGGATATGGTTACGGATACAGATATACCTCAGTAAGGAAAATTCATATCCATATCCGCTAAAATCGGATACGGTTACGGATATACATGCAGATATATAAGCGGATATGTATGCAGATACAAAACGGATATGAGAAAGCTAGATAATATTGAGAAAAACATAGTTCATGTGATACAAAAGAGTTCGTTTATATGTTCATTATATCTAAAAAGTTAAGATTAAACATATAGATCATCAAAATTAACCACAAATCCATAATCTAAGAATCAAAACTATCGTAAGAGTATGACTAATATGTATTCGGATATTTCGGATATGAATACGGATATTTCACTATAAAACGATATTCGTAACCATATCCTATCGGTTATAGATTTGAGTAATCATATCCGTATCCTAACGGATATGGTTACGGATATCTCCTCGGATACGGATACAATTTAGTACCCCTATGCATGAACATTATAATGCTTCAGTGTCATAGGATGACAGCTTTTATAAGCAAGATGACATGTGTACAACAGTCTCGATCAGTATGCAAACTTTTCGAGTTTCTGTTTGTGCCCTAAGTTTGATTCCCATCTATACGGCCTAGGACAAAGATAAAACCATAAGTTCTGTCTCTAACCTAGGATGGAGGGTTATTTTTTCTTATACGAAACAGAAAGGTGTTAGTTTTTGAGCTAATTCCAGATGAACTGTAACTCAGTCCTCTTCCTCTTTGTTTTCCTCTTTTACAACTACAGTTCCAACTGTGACATCCATTATAAGTTTCAAACTTAAATTCAACCTATATGCGACCTCCAGCTCCTCTTTTAGATATACAATTTCGAATGTGACAGCCACTATACGTTTCAAAATTAAATTCAACCTTTATGCACCTCTTTATGCTCCTCATATTAATGTGACAGCCACTATACGTTTCAAAATTAAATTCAACCTTTATGCACCTCTTTATGCTCCTCATATTGCTTTCATCTTTTAATCTGGAGCACTTAACTAGCCACCTTACACAGGCCAAGCAAAAAAGAACCACCATGCATAAGTGCCTTCGACAACTTTAATCTTCATTTTTTTTAGTTCTCATCATTCTCTCTTTCTTTTATGTTCCTCTTTCTTCTGCAATGTCATCCTCGGACCTCTCAACTACTGTTCTCTGCCCTTTTTTTCATATCACTCCCTCTTTCAACTTGTTGACCTTATGTATGCCATATCGAAAAAAGTTACTAAGTTAATATAGGAATGGAAGCACCAATACATTCTTGTGGAACACCCTGACAAGCAAGTGAGAAGGTGTGCATATAGCACATCAGAGTTTGGTGATTATTAAGCAGATGCATTTATTCTCTTATGACAAATATACTTTTGACTTTCATAGATATATGTATTTATAAGATAGTTCGTGCATAATTATTTATTAGTTAGCTACGCTTCTTTTTTGAGACAATGGACTCATGATTTATGGCAGACATGCTGTCACATACATCACTTAGATAGTTGAGCTGCTTGATGGTATCTTGCACCCATGTCAGAGTAGTGTTCAAAGAAGCTGCTAGCATAGATAGGAGATGAGGATATGACTTGATTGCATCTTGAGTTATACCTTTAACCCATAAATGGAGCAAATTTGATGGCTCACTACACTAATGATAGTTTTTCCTCTTTTTATGCAGCATTGGTGGTGCTAAAGAAAAGTGCATATATTTATCAGAAATTTCTTTTCTGATTAAAGATGAATGGGTATCTACCTATGGTGATGGACTGATGGTATACACAAGAAGAGCAGGATATATCATCTTCAGTATTTTGTGATTCTTCCCTATAAGAAACATGTAAATGGCGCATATATGATACAGTTCTAAGGTATTGTGTTCTGAAATTGAGGATGTCAAATATATGCATTCCATGTAAAGTCTACATAAGAAATTACAGTAGTACTGCAAAAGTACTTCAGAGCTTATCCGCAATCAAGAAGTTTCAAGCCTAGCATATTAACAAAAAGATAGATAATCTATAATCGTGTCATCCATTAGTTCACTCACCGGAAGGTAAAATGAATAATAAGCAGTCTTGTACTGGACAATACATTGATAACTACATGTCAAATACAAGAAACTATCGTTAGCAACTAAAAAACATGTCAAATTTGAAGTAAAAAAAAGTCGGGATACAAGCAGTTAGAATTATTTTAAACCAATAAGTTTTGGTTGCCAAAAACTGTATAAGAAGTGATCATAAGCTGCGCTTGAAATTTTGTAAGATAAGAGCATGGCAAAACAATAGCACAAATTATGAAAAACTATTATAAATGCCTCACATACACAGGAAATTTATATTTTGACAGGTCTTGTTCTCCATCATGAGTTGTGATCAGATCAAGCATCTGCCCTGAAGCTGTCTGAAATTCTACCTGGCAAGACATACTATTTATTTGTCGCGTGATGAGCTAAAGAATCAAAATTGAAACCATAACATCTATTTCAGATTTATTTACCTCATTGAACAAATCTAAGAGGTCAACATAGTAAGGCTTTTCCCTGAAATGTAGTTTTAGCATCCGTGGGATGTGGTTATGAAGTAAAACCCCGTCATTGGCAGCAATAAGTCCAACCTAGTGAGCAATATGAGAAATTATCAGTTCTTTATAGTAAGATGAATACAATAAATATAATTATCTATTACAAGATTATTTGAGTCAGACTTAGTCCCTAACAAAACTATCTGAATTAAGCATAACATTTGAGGAAAAACTCATACCGGATTAATTCAATAAAAGGAAATAAAAAAGCACAAATATTTAGCCAAATTACCATAGCTTCTTCCCCAAAAGACAATAACAAGCAGATGTCTCACATGGGTTTTATCTGGAAATATTTATGGTAGACTATGGTTCTCATGACTCAAATGATTAAATGTTCGCATTGTCTGATGAAGGAACTATAGAAATCTTAACAGTTAAGCATGCTCTGACAGGAGGACTACAGTGATGGGTGATGACCTATGGAATGTATTTGCTCAGGGTGTTATGAAGATACGTATCTATAAAAGATTTTTGACAGCCACAATAAATGCCACATCCGGCATCCAAAAGCACATAGAATATGTACTCAAATTGGTATTGCACCTTAGAATGCATAAAGTAGAAAGTTAAAAATCCTTGAAATCTACAAGGTTAAAACTGTTCTGGAGTATGTGAAAATCTGGAAGTGAAAGTGAATAGGTACAATAATACACTAGGTTTGCAATTGGTTAAAGAGCCATATTAATACGAAGATTCTTGAATACAACCCCTCATAGTTAAGGGGTATAACTGATATCGAAAATGAATTACAGTCTCTAATCTCCCCTTTGCATATAAAGCATTGATCCACATCTTCAACAGGATGTCAACTTAAAAGGTTGTGTTAATGCTAAAGAACTCAGTGCTATGGTTTCCTCCCTGTAGGGTTCCTCAACCAGCTCCATTGACAGGGCATCACAACATGGAAGTTAATTTAAATAGGAAGATAAGATGAGTACTTAGGTTTCCAAAGCAGACTTATTTTGACCCAGGTTTCTCGAGAGAGATTTATCATATTTGCATATTACTCCCCCAAATCTTGATATTTTGAACTTAGTCCCCAAATCTTCAAGTATTCAAGATTAGTCCCCAAAATCTTCATGTTTAGAAATTAGTCCCCAAATCTGTTAAATGTTTTAAATTGGTCCTTCTAGTTAGCAGTTGGTGGAAAGATTTAGGGAACTAATTTCAAAATACTTAAAGATTGGGGGGACTAATTTCAAAATATCTAGATCTGGGGAACTAAATTCAAAATATGAAAGATTTGGGGGATTAATATTAGATAAAATCCCCAATTAAATAAAGAAAATTTGCTTCTTGAGGTCAGTGATCTCCTAAAAATTTCTCGCGTTTCCCCAAGTTATAAAGCTTAACGCAAGCTTAAATTGTCACTGTTAATCACATATCCAATTGATATTTACAAATGAAAAAATGAATAGAATAGAAAAGACAGTCAACATATAATGAATAGAAAAGATAATAACCACGGAAAGTTAGCAGTTACAGCATTTACCTTCCTACATGTATAAATGTCTCAACTTGTTGGCGAAATGGTGCACTCTGTAACAATTCTGTGATAGTTTGGGGAGTCCAATGGCCATAATCATTACACAACATCGTTATAGAACTGGAGCATTAACCGTTATAACATTCACAACAGATTTAAGAAAATAGCACTCACCTCTGGTAAGTATGACGCTAGTCTTTGCTGAACTAGTAACTTTTCAATCAACTGTTTCAATAGTATTTAGACCCATGCAAAGCACGGTTCCTAAAAGATTTTTGATCTTTTTTTTGTTTATTCTTTTGCGGTTTTTGACATAAAATCAATCTACAACAACATCAGATGTTCATGATGCTAGAGAGGAACCCAAAGAGCCATATCTAAACATCTTCAAATGTTTGTTGTATAAGTTATTAACGATAGTGTTACATTAAAAAAACTATAGAAAGAAGGAACATTGTAACAGATAACCCAAAGGATTCGACAATGCAAAGGATACAAAAATTGTACCATCTGATGTTAAATTTCTTGTGAGCCTCTCTGATTATTGATCTGCATCAATTAAGAATAGAAACCAATAAGCAATAAAAGTTCAATAGACTCACTGAAGTAGTAACAATTCCAATTACAAATTTGTGAAAACGGTGCTAAAATCCAATAGTTTAAGTCAAAAGACTTTCAAATAATTCAATGTCAACATACATTTCGTCATAATAGTTTCCTAAATCTTCACGTGCCCCAAATCAAGCCAAAAGAACCCTAAAACCAAACTTCCAACAGTTGAATTACAGAAAAATCAATAAATAAGGAATCAAAAACTTATACATACAACATATAAGATCCTTGTTGACATTAGGGCTTAAACTACCATACAATATAATGGAGAAATGGGATAAATTGTTGCCTCATTGAATGGAAAGAGAGAATGATTGATTCTCTGGATTTAGGCTTTCTCCGTCCTTCTCTCGGTCACCTAAAACTTCATCTTCAACTGTAGTATATGCTAATGTAAACCGCAAAAGAATAGTAGTTTACGTTACAGTTATGTTAAGAGAGAGAATCAGCACGTAGGAAACTATTTCAACAGGAAAAAAATATTTTACTTTCATCATACTTCTTCATTTTATTACTTCATATTAGTCTTGAAGGTTTCCAGAATAAAAAAATTTATCATACATATTAGCCATAGAAGGATTGAAGAAAGACCATATGATTATCAAAATGAACAGCAGGTATACAACTATATAGGCTATGTATGTGAAACCTTTGTGATTGTTTTTACCTGAAAATCTCGTACTTGCTCCTGCTGCTCAGCTTGATATTGACCAACCACACTTAAGATTTCCCCGACAACGTATTTTTCTCTTGAGTCTCTGGATATTTTGTCGGTAATCAGGGACCGATAGAATATCTTAACTAAAAATCTTCCTATTGTTGCTAAATAGTTTGTTGTGTCGATAAATAGCAGGTTACTTTACAAAATATATATTCAAAGCAAAGCATCGAGAAAGAAAATGGAATTCTAGAAGTGAAACTGACCTCCTTATTTGCTATTCCTAGTGCTCTTGCTCTTCCTTCTCCTTTCACTTTTCAAGCAATTCTATAAATCATTGCAAAATATTACCGCTCCATTTTGCTCAATTAGGGAGTGAAGGTACCCTCGAGCGGTGGCTGGACGGTGTTAAAAGATGTGAAGTCAATTATATCATAAATGAAGCAGTTGCAAAAGCCTTGCCCAAGAAAAATGCATCCAAAACAACTTTATTCTCATTCTCACCTATTTAACATTCAGAGCCTACTAATTTAGCATTACTATTCTATTGTAAGAAGGCTGAAATTCTACTAAAACATAGAATAGCTTTAAAGGTAATTTGCATTGCTTGAATCGAAATATGCATGAGGATATGTCCTGGAAGAATAGCTACATTATGTAGTTCCCTTACTGCTTCCGCAAAATGTCACCAAAGAATAATGCATTCTAAACAGTTACCAATAGTTAGCGGGAAAAAAAATAAAATAAAAATAAAAATCTAGGCCACATATGAAACACAGTAGCAACTTAAGCAGGTAAAGTTTAAAGCTTTCAGACTAAAAAGCACATGAGATTCACTTTGATCTAGAGAAATTGAACATAATTGCCTATTTTATTCCTCAAACAATTATCAGAACCACCAATAATTGCATAAATTGATCAAAAAACAATAAATGGTTAAAGGAACAGGAGTATATACACCAAAAAAATCAATAATTGAATTGAGCTAGATAAAAATAACAAATCTATCTATTATGTTCCTCACGATAACTTTTCATTTCATGTTTTGGGGTCCAATTACCTGCAAATGCCCCCCTTTAAGCACAATTTGGACAAAACCCAGAAATCAAAACCCTCAATAATTAGAGAAACCAATAAAAATAATAATGGCTCGATGAGGATAAGAGTTTATTTATGATACCTGAATCAGGACCAGGTGTTTTGGGGTCCACATGAAAATCTCTCATTTTCCAATTTAATTAAGCTTAAAACTTGCATTTCCCATTTCCGCCTGATACTAACACGTGCCTCATCTCCATTTATTGTCACTCTCTTTCACCCTCATACTTATTTTTCTTAATTCTTTAAAACTTTGTCCAAATTAAGCAGACAGTGTGCATGAAAAATTAAAGTGAATAGTCTACTTCGCGACTAAAGATGCACATTAAAAGTAATATTTAAATCATGGTAAATGATGTAGAGAACGATTAAGGTATGAATTTTCTATTAAGTCGTGTATACACCAAGGCTTGCATAAGTCAGTATTGAATGCTTAATGCCAGTGACAGTACAATAGATTGATGCTCTGGTCGACAAACTTCTACGGCATATGCCTGAACAAAAGCATAATTAGAAAACAAAACTTGAGAGGGACAGAGGACAACTTCATCAACGTAAAAGAATTAGTGAATACCTTTATTGGGCCAAGTATACCATTAAAAGCTCCAAGAAAAAATCTCGTAGCAATTGCCATCCAATAATTTACACTTAATCCAAAGAGGGTGTTAAATATAATCCTGAAATACAAACAAACATTTATTTTCTGAAACTGTTTCAATACATCTCCCTTATTTTCTGAGTTGTTATAGTTTAGGAACAGAATACCGGTTATTTTCTTAAAAAAGAAAGCATCCTAATTGCTAAAAAGTGAGCTTTGAATTTTCAAAAAAATTAAAAAATAAAAATTTACCTGCTCATACTTAGACTCAAGATATAAGATCTGATCTGAGTCTAGTCCAATTTCAACAAACATCTTTTGTACTTACAAACCATGAGACCAAAATTAAGCTATATTTTCAAGTTCGTGAGTAAGATCAAAAGCTCAAAGAATAATTCGTAGCATAGTAAGTAACAAAAAAAAAAAAAAATTCGCTCACATCCATGATCTTCTTCTCCAGATCCATGAGAGGCTTTTTGAAGGGCTAAGGATCCCTCCCTTGACATTGGGATCGGGCTCGATCTCGTGAGGCTACGGGTACTCGTGCTTCACCTTCCCCTTCTTCACGATCTTGGCCATCACATTCACCATCCTCCTCCTCAAATCAACGCTCATCGCTCCCGATCCCCCCAAAATCCTAAGAGGCACTCCGATCACTCCACTGCTCGAGCTCCGCAGGAGATCCGAGGCCGAAGCCCTTGAGCCAAAGGAGAACGCCAAAAGTGAAGACATCTAGGGGGGATCGAGCTTCGATCTGCGGGGGCTAAGAAAACCCTAGAAATGGGGATCTAATGAATAGAGATAGAGAGCGGCATTGTAGAAATCGAAGGCTCCAAGCAGAAGCGGAAGCGGCATTGGAGAAATCGAAGAGCCATTGATTTTGAGGAAATGAGGAGTTTTTTCAGTTTAAAAAAAATTGCGGAAGCCGAGGCGGGGAGCCATTAATGAGAATTTGCACAGATTAGTTTTTTAATAGATTTTTTTAATTTAATAATTTGATTAAAAAAGAAATTGCCGAGTGGCATTTTGAAGGGTAAGAGTTTTTAGTAATAGTATATAGATATATAGATGTCATCATTCCACGTGGAGAATTTTGCTCCAGGGCCCAACACTTGAATGGTAGGACTCGCCGGATTGGACGGGCAGGGGTGCATCCTGTCTGGGCTTGGATATGATGTTTATCATATCCATATCCGCTAAAATCGGATACGGTTACGGATATAGATGTGGATATGCATGCGGATACAAAACGAATATGAGAAAACTAGATAGTATCAAGAAAAACATAGTTCATGTGATACAAAAGAGGTCGTTAATATGTTCATTAAAACTGAAAAGCAAATATTAGACATCTTGATCATCAAAATTAACCACAAATCCATGATCTAAGAATTGAAACTATCGTAAGAGTATGACTAATATATATTCGAATATTTCAGATACGAATACAGATATTTCACTACAAAACCATATCCGTAACTATATCCTATCAGTTATAAATTTTAGTAACCATATCTGTATCCTGATGGATACAGTTACGGATATTTCCTCGGATACAGATACGGTTTAGCACCCCTAGGTCAATGGGTCGAATATTTTAGCAAAATGGCACTTAAATACCTCGTAGCTTCACTTTCTTGGTACTTATTTATTTTTGGTTATATTTTATAGCATTTATATATCCTAAATTAATTAAAAGTGGCATGTTAATATTTTATATTTTGTAAAAGTGAAATTTTTTATCAAAAAGTTCTAATATAACATTTATATGATAATCTTATAGAATCTGGGTAGGTTTAATAGTATTTAGCAACTTGTTGATAGCTGATATCAAACCGTCAATGAAAGAAGTGATTAAGTTGACGGAGGTTTTCTAACCCTCCAAATGTCCGATTCTGGAGTAGGTTGTTCTTCTATGCGAAAGTAGCAAATCGTAAGAGGGCGGAGTTAGATGCCCCGGTTGCTCCTCCAACGATTAAGTTAGTGATTTGCTTGAGTGGAAAAGTAAAATGAATTGTTGTAATTCTTAAACACCGTTGGTAGAGGCAATGATGTTATCTTATTATTCAAAATAGTACCCCTATTTATAGTGATCGTAGAAGGGTAGAATGGTAACTTCGGCTGAGTATGAGATGGTGGCCATGTTAGCCTCTACTTTACAGTTGTCGGCCGACGAGTGGAGGAGACGTCACCTCGGTATTTAATGTGAGGTAATTGGGGGCGTGCGGTGCCGACTGGTCCAATGTGTCATAAAGACTATTGGGGACAGATGAATGATGGCGTCCATAATGTATTTAATGATATTTATTGCGGGGTAATTGGTTGTTAGTGCGCGGGGAGGGGCTCAAGGTTTGAGGAATTTGTCGCCTTTTACTCGTCCAGTGGTTGAGAAGTACCGCCCTTTAAGTCGTCTCCGCAGGATGTCGGTTGAGTGGTCTGTTGAGTAGGTCGATCAGGGAGTCGACCTAGCTAGGGGTCGACACGTAACGCCATTTGAGTCACCCTCGCGAGATGTCAACATGTCGAGTCGTCTGAGCTGGGTCTTGGGTTATTTTGAAGTGTTGGCTCGATTACGTATAATGTGGGACACATGTCTGCCATAAATTGGGGATTAGTTTTCAGCACTAGAATGACTATAACAGTTGGCCCCTTTTACTTGGAGTCAGCCTAGGTCAGGTCTAAGTGAAATATAACAGTTCTTGATGAGTCATGAGGGGCATTAATAAGGGATCTGAAAAGTTCTTTGGATGCGATGTGGCTGACGTCAGTGAATTCTTTTCAATTGTCGTCGCTTTTGTGTTTCGTGCAGGATTGCGGACTATCTAAGGCGAGCATGCTTTATCTCGATTCAGGGAAGGCTACTTCGAATCTAGAATTAATCTAGGTCGTTGGCTAGGGTTCAGGTCGTCTATTGAGATTATGATAATTAGAGGCCTAGTTGCATATAAATAGGGCTATCGTAGTGAGGGAGTGGTTACTGCTTTTTTAAAACTCTGAATCCGCGTTTACTAAGTGCTCTGAACACCTTCTCCGACAATAATCCATAGTATGAATGGCGGTCCCAGTTCAAAATGCTATACAATAAATGTTAGCAAAGATCCATTCCAAGGTGACGTTGCCCTAACTAAGATCCCTCCATAGGAAATACGATATCCCCCGTAGTTGAAAGCTAACGGTGCCGACGAGGTCGTAGGTGGACTATGATCAGGATGATAGTTTAAGCTCCCCTCTACTTAAAACACCTAGAGTTCGACACGCGTCTGCCTCTACACCCCTTCCTCCGCCGCGTGTTCACCGCCGTGGGGTGTCGCCGATGCAGATAAAACCGAACGCTATCGCGATGCAGGTGGGGTTCGTGGTGATCTGCAGCTAGCAAGGGATCGAACCATCCCTAAATGTGTTGGGCCACCTGATTGGTGTCAAAGTGCACAAGAAAGAAGCCCACTTCCACTTCCAATCAGTGGGCAAATTCAATGTCATCCTCCACCTTCCCGTCTCAAACAAAGACTGGAAGGAGAGATTCATTTGGGTCTCGGGAGACAACTCAGACCTATGCTACTCTAATTAGCCTGAGATAGTAAGGGAAGCCCTGATGATGGGGAAACTGTCAAGTGCGTAGTTGCAGGGCTCTGGATCAGATTAGGGCGTACGATGGATCTTGCAAGATGGAGCATCTACATGACAAAATCCGTCTTGCGAATGGTTGACATATCTTCTGAGCCTTCTTCAACCAAGGATCATGAGAGGGCAGCCAAGCTAACTGTCCCTCTAGAAGAAGTTGCTGGGGTGCCGACAGCTTGGCTTGCTGAGCCTTAAGGACGACCGTCGGCAAGGCTGGTGAAGCGCCTTCGCTAGGACTTGGCCCCTGAGGAGGCTGCAAAAGCTCGTGCATAGGCGGACAACATATCAGCAAGACCAACGAGACTAGCGCCTTCGGCCGCTCGAGCTAAGAAGGTGAAGAAGGCCCCTCGAAAGATCGGTAGCCAAGGACCTGGAAGGGCGGTCGAGACAGGTGAGACCGAAGTCATCCATGTGGATGCGGGATCTTCAGCTTGGGAAGAGGAGGAAGAGATCGATCATGAGGTCAGGGTCGGAACCGAGGCCTATACATAGGAGGAGGGAGCCCTTATCGATCCAGCCGAGTTGACTCGCCGCCGGGGGAAAGAACCGATCGGAAAGGAGGCCTTAAATATGGAGGGTTTAGCGTATTCATATCCTCATCGAATCGACGAGAAGCTTAGGAGAGGATGAGGATGTTGCCGATTGGGTCCTTAGGTGCCGGCCCTCGATATACTAGGGAGCCCTCTATGGGGCATCACCATCAGCCTACCCGCAGTCTCGATACAAGGGGGCGGTCCTTAGATCCTAATCGCCCAAATAAGAGCAGAGGAGCAGTTCTAGTTGCTTCGTAACGTGGAGATTCTGGGGGAAGTTCCCAATGTCATCCTCCATCAAGCCCTCCGGAGCTACTTGGTTCACGGGGCACTCATGGAACGAGAACTCTTTGTTCACATGGAGAAAATCTGAACTTCCTACCTCAAAATCCAAGGGGAGTTGGAAGATAGGCTAGCTAACATGGGGGCGACCTTGAAGAAGCCCTCAAAGGAGCTATCGACTAAGGAGGATGAGTCGGGCAACTGGTGGCAAGAGATGGAGGTGCGGGAGCAAATGATCGAGTGTTTGAAAGCCTCGGATGCCTAAAAATCCTCTGAGATCGATAAGCTCAAGCGCAAGCTCCAAGAGAGCAACAAGAGGGCGAGACATCTATCTGAGAAAGTCACGTCGTGAGTGCAAGATAAGGACCGTGCTCTGGTGCAGGTTGAGCCTAAACGCCAAACGGCCCACCTCGCTAGGGACAAGCTTGAACGCCAAACGAGGGTAGAGCATGTGCGGAAAACATCTTTCTACACATATAAGAATATGACGCATACATATGTCATAAAACTTGACACGTGTGTCAAAAGTGGTGACACATACATGTGCCACAAAAATACGTGACAAGTACATGTGTCAATAATGGTGACACATAATATGTCTAAACTATAGAAATATAAAGAGTATTATCATTCAACGCTATAACTTGACAGAAGGTTACACATCCTAGGATTACTCTCACCAAAACACAATTAACTTAAGAGTTTGTTTGGCTTGTACACTATCATGTATGTTCTTAAACTTATTGTTCAAGCCCATCAATAAATCCTCCAACAACCAATATAGGACTATTAGTCTTTTTCAAATTTATTTTATTTTATATCTAATGACACAAATATATGTTATGATTTACCACACTTTTTCTTTGTATCACTGTTGTTTAATCCTTTACAAATAAAATGGCACTTTTATATGACTTTTGTTGTAGTGCATGCCCATTTATCTAGCTGCTCAAATCATCTAAATAATTCTGATAACAAAGAATTGTGAAGGATTTGATTCATTCACTTACTAAGCTGCTTGAGACATCTTTTCGCTAGTTCATGGTGAAAGAAGTTTTCGTACATAAACAAATAAATAATTTTGAAAAGTACATCCCCAATGGACTGATATCATACAAGTTGAAGACACCACAAACTCTTCTCCTTCATCCTATAGTACAACCAGAATGGACCGATATCATACAAGTTCAAGACACCTCAAACTCTTCTTCATCCTGTACTAAATAGAAACAAACTTCTAATAAACATCCAGCCATATCCATAAATTTTCCACTTAAACTCTGCCCGAATCAATTATCACTGGAGAGTGCAGTAACAACTCAATTGAAAAGTTTCACAAAGGTGGGGAATTACTGGAATAAAAAGTTGTACAAAGATGTTCAATTACACTGGCAATTTCCAAAACACAACAATAGAACACCCATACAGAACACATGGCAATCTAATCTAATACAGAATAATGGTGAAAAAAAATTAAAGCACAGGGATAGAAACGTGCCATTGCTACAGAAATCAAGAGAAACAAGAAAATGACAACAAAAAAGTACAAACCCATGATGAAGAACTTGCCACTGATTTTTTCTGAGCCAGATCACTTCTGTCTCTTGTAAATCTTGTGCAAGAAAGACTTCAACACCTCCTGAACAGCTTTGCTGGGCTGAGCTTCAATGGAAGAGATCAGCTGTTCATAGCTTGCAGCCTCATACTCCGCGAACACAGACTATGAAGAGAAAAGAGGCATAAAATTTAAATAAATAAATAAATAAATTGAGAAAAAAATTAAGAGCATGATTTGATGCAAATAATCCTACTCAGAAGGAGCAACTTGTTAATATAGATAGCACAGATAAAATTGATTGCAAATGCCTCGTTGAAGGTCCCAGTACACCTAGGCAGTTTCTACCTTTCACGATAAACAGTTTGCAGAGTCTGAAACTTCACGGGAAAAAACAATCCAGCAGTGTCATCTTGTTAAAACTACACTGCTGTTAAGATTTCAACTCCAATCAGAACTACCCACATGCGAGTGGGGAGCTCTAAGGCACTAAATGGGGATGTTAAGATTTCAACTCCAATCAGAACTACCCACATGCGAGTGGGGAGCTCTAAGGCACTAAATGGGGAAGCAAAATCCCCAAACTACCCCTCCAACCCCCCATGAATGGCATAGATCAGCCCCCTTATATCCAGGTTTCTGATAGAACTTAAACTCTAATAAGTCTATTATTAATAATATTCCAGATACGGGTACTATGAATCCAAATTTAAAATTTATATTTTCACGTTGAAAACCAGCATGTGAGTAATAATACACATGGAATACCTACAAATAGAAATTCCAAGTTGTTTATTTTAAATCATGTGTCAAGGGATGAAAAGTCAGTTTGATTTTATGAATAATCTGAAATGTTGATTTCAGCAGTATAGGGTGCATGGTTAAAGCACATCCGACATTTATATTTATAAGTAGTTGATGTGCAGTATATCACATCTAAATGTATAAATTTTCAATTTAGAAATTAAATTTTAAAATTTGGCATTGATGTGCAGTATATCACATCTAAATGTATAAATTTTCAATTTAGAAATTAAATTTTAAAATTTGGCATCTTTGTATGTTTGTGTTTGTCTCTCTCCATACATGTGTGTTGTGTGTGTGTTGTGTGCATGTATCTATGTACTTTGTATATGTATGTGTGCGTGTTGCGTGCATGTATTTATGTACTTTGTATATGTATGTGTGTGCGCGTCTACATCTATGTGTGTGCTGGCATGTGTGTTGATGAGAACGGACTTAGAATGCCTAAGCATAACTTATTTATGTCCACTTTTGGTAGCTCATACGTCACGTCTCATAGAATTACATCCTTGTAAGAGCTTCAAAACAAAATTATTGAAGTCAACCAGCCCCATGGGTAGAAATGCAATCAAAGGGTTGGGTAGGGGAAATTTACTTGTTTTAGAATATAAAACAATAACCCTCAATCCTAACCGAAACTTATGAGTTTTTGTGTAATGGTTAGACTTTAAGATGGTATCAGAGCAACCCATGTTCAAATCCCACCAGCCACAAAGTTAAGTCAATTTTTCTAAAAATTGACGATGCTGCCTAAATCCACATTTTGGCAATAGGAAAAAGGGCCCTCACCAAAACTTTTGCTATAATGGTTAAAACCTTTAAGAATTTGTATTCTCAAACATTGACCTATTTGGTTCTGAATCTTCCGACATGATTTACGAACTGATGTGTGAACTAACATTTTGCTGCTTGCCGACAAGACACATTGGTAAGCTAACACTATTTTGTATAAATCTAGAGCAGTGACGAACTCATCACTAAATAAGCAGAATAAGGACAATAAGTATAGACAAAGATCATTTCATACAGAAAATTTATGTGTTCCTTCAATTATGCCAAAGCAAACACGAACTTGACTATTCATCAGCTACTGGTCGTATAACTTGACTCTCTAACTGATGATATCTCTCTAACCATAATCCAGTCCAGCAGTACAAGGAGAGTTGTGTATAGGTAACAAAGGACAGCAAGATCTGAATAATATGGTAAGGTCCGGTCCAAACAATTTGGTAATAGTATGATAATAACCTTTAAATGTGATGGAGTGCAATATCATCAAGAAAATGTGATTGCATATATGGCTGTAAACAATACCCTTAAGACAGTCTTTGCAACAAGGAACATATTACATAGGTCAAGATTAGAAAACTCAAGTTACTGTAGACACTACACGAGGTAGAATATTAATCATACCTGCAGATTCAGGTCATTGTAAACGGCTTTCACTTTTGTAACACAAGCGGGATCTGACTTCCCATAATTCTCCTGGGAGTACATTTAACATTAATTTTTATCATAGTTCTTCCAAGAGCAAAAAAGTTATAAATGGTGGGCTGGAAACATACTCACCGATAGAAGTTTCATTTGGTTTTCATTGGCACGCTCAAGGGCTTGTACAATAAGCCAAGAGCACTTAAAATCTTCAATATCGGTCCCAATCTGAAAGCATATAGGACTCCAAAAATTAAACTAATAGAAATCAGAAGGTTCAGGGTCAAATAAACCATAGATTGCCATTGTGAAAAAAATACTGTAATGCTTCTTGCTCAAATAAGAAAATGGAAGAAAGCTTGTCCGTATTTACCTTACCAATTACTTCAGGAGCACCAAAACAATCTAGGTAATCATCCTAAAAAGAAAGGCTTATAGTCATTATTAAAACAGTCTCTTAACTATGGAACATTAACTTTTTACTATTATCAGAAAACACACCTGAACTTGGAAATACGTTCCCATTTCAACAAGAATGTTTTTCACCTCAACAAAGTTGTCCAAGTTTTCACCAGACATCACCAAAGCACATGCAACCTAGAGAAAAAGATGGTTAGGCTTTTGTTTAAGTTTCTTCTGAAATAAAATTACAATTACAAGTGAAAACCAACACATGATGTTAGTACAAAAATATGGTACAAGGTAAAAACAGACAAGTTACTGAAACTTGTTACTAAGCTATTCTGGTGAGCTCCGGAAAATTAAAAAAATTCAATACGAAATTAGAAAATATCTTAGATTTATACATAAAGGACAACCAATTTATCTATAGTTTGAAAAGTTGACATAACCTTGATATTGGTGTTAACTTGAAATCTTATATATTTAGTGTAGGTACTGATCTGTGAAGTAATAACTTGCTATTGGCACTGTCATTCACTGATAACTTTTGCCCAACAAAATCATTGCTGCTTGTTCCTTGCTCGAAGAAGAATCATGTTGTTTGTTTTCTTCATCATCTTCATCTACATAGTCATTTGTGGTTATCTATGCTACCTAGGTACTTCTATCATGAAGCAAAGACCGAACCAGACACTCATCCATACCCAAACTTTATGAGAACTCCTAGTATATATGTTTTAATTTCAAGCACTTGTCAGTGACTTCTTGGTCGTATATACTACAATTCACATCCATTTCTTGAACCGCACTAGACATAGGTTGGGTTTATTTCAGCTCGTACCCATGTTCAAAACTATAATTTTAAAGGGTTAACTAGGTGTCTAGTTCAAAAAACAAGTAGCCTCCAATTTATAATAATCAACACAAATAAAGAAGCTCAAATTTTGATCGGAATTTCAATTATAATAACAAGTGAATTTAAAAACAATAATGATCTCATGTAAATATCTCAATATATGTATGTATATATAACCACACACACTAAGGTGCGTACATCTAAATCTACACACACACACACACACACACACACACACACACACATATATATATATATATATAGAGAGAGAGAGAGAGAGAGAGAGAGCAAAACTTGTGTCAACTTAAGTGGATAGCAAAAAGTTATCCACCAAACTTTTTAGCCACTCATATTGCCTAGGGATCCTTGCATGATATGAAAGAGTTTTTTATATTAATAAATGAGTGGCTAGGAAGTTTAGTGGACATCAACTTAAGAGAGAGAGAGAAATGTAGGAATACTAAGCATAAGTTTTGTGTTTGGTAGTGAGATGTCTCGTTCTCATCCACTTTCCAACCCATATGAATGTCCCTCATTTGAATGAGTAGATGTAAATGAGTCACCTCACTACCAAGCACAAAAACTGGTGCTTGGCTACACACACACACGCATAAACATATATGTATATATACATGTATGTATGTATATACATATATACATGTACATATAACACACACGCATAAACATATATGTATATATACATGTATGTATGTATATACATATATACATGTACATATATGCATATATACATATATGCATAGGTACACATATATAGATATACATATATACATGTACATATATACACATATATGTGTGTGTGTGCGTGTATATATATAAAGTATGTCCGTTGCACATGGGCATAGTTGTTTGATTTTGAAAAATTTAAATGTGGACCGTAAAATGATGAAGTGAATTGATGAGAAACTCTCGATTCATGTGCTTAAGCTGGTTAAGATTTTACCAATATTCATTGGAACAAAACATACAGACCTTAGATTAAATCATATTTTATGGTAATTAAATATTCATGTGGCTCCTTAGAATCATATTTACCATATATATATATATATATATATTAATATATATATTATATATATATATATATATATATATAGTTTTCAAATATTGGCCGATAATTTGATATTATCGCCGAGTTAACGGATTTGGGAACTTTCTGCTAGGATAAGTAGGATTTTTAATCGGTTATCTTTTATGGGTTTATCGGTGACTTATCGGTGATAATATGGATATCGGCCGATAAAGAGGCTGAAATTATCGGGTTATCGGCTTGGTTTGTTAAGTTGGATTGTTGAGTTCTTAAACCCGACCGACCGTTTTGACAATAAAATAAAACTTTTGCCCTAACCTTCGTGAATTCTCTCCCTCTCTGTGCGGCTGTTCTTCGCGTCTCTTCGTGAATCTCCGTGAACTTCATGCTCGACGCCGCCTCGCCTTCGGAAACTGCTCATCCTCGGTCGCCTCCCTGACCTTTAGCCCTAACATTCAGCCCTAACCTCGTTGCTCGCCTCCGTGAACCTCGTCGCTTGCCTCGCCTTCGTGAACCTCGTCGCTCGCTCACCTCTGTGAATCTCCGTGAACCTCGCTCGCCTCTCCTTCGAACTCTAGCTGTCCAGCGGGATTTACTCGACCATGTATCTACTGCTCAGTTGTTTTTTTACTTTTTCTTTTAAGTTCATTTCTTCTCTTCATGATCTAAGGTGAAGCTATGCTAGATTGGGGTTGAATCCAACTCAGTCAGACTTTTTCTTTTTTAGTTCATTTCTTCTCTTCCAATTACAATTATCTCCTCTTATTTCTTTTTTTCCCCTTCCTTTGCTCTCTGTTCTCTAAAAAAACAAAATTATCTATGTTTGTCACTTTCATCAATACTTAACTTGATATTTATAAGTCTTTTCTGTAAGAATTTCTGTGAAGTTTTAGGATTTCCCCATATGTGTTAAAATACTGTGACTTGTTGTGAGACTTGTATAAGAAATTAGTTACAACTTACAAGTCTTAAAAAGTTTTTTCACTGTAATTAGTTTATAGCAAACTTGTAATTAATTTTAAGAAAATACTTGTGAGACTGTATAAGCAAATTTAATTGTATTTACAATTAATTTTGAGCAATTAGTTTTTACTTGAGCAATTAGTTTTAACTGCAACTAATTTTTTACTGCAACTACTTTAGCTAATTATAAGTTTATAACTCGATCAATAATCTCTGAGTTTCATTGAATCACTGTTCACTACTCACTACGACTAATATTGATTAGTTTTACAACTTGGATCAGCAGATAGTTTACAATTGCTATTTTAAGTTGTCTTCCTCAGTTCCTTCATTCCTTGGAATCTTGATATCATTTTGATCTCAAGTTTGCAACAAAATAAAACTGACTGATGTTAGGCATAAAATTTTATGACGTGATGAAATAAATAAAATAAATATACACTTGTGCAATTGTGTTTGCCATTTTATTTTCAAACTTGTGTTCACAGTTCAATATCTCTTAAATGTTGACAGGAGAATGTATTCTGAAAGCTAATCATCTAATAAACCATCAAAACCAAGCGGTAAAGATTCTTGTTGGCATATGGTGAGCGGGTTGGTAATGATGCTTTAAAGGTTCGTTGCAAGTTTTGTGGGCAGTCTATGTGTGGAGGTATAAGCCGGTTCAAACAACATTTGGGTGGAATCAAAGGGAACTGTATGCCGTGTGAGAAAGTCACCGAAGATGTGAAGAAAAAAGTTAATGAAATCATTGATAGTGCCAAGAAGAATAAGGGTGCAAAGGAGTTGAAAATGCGGGATTTACTCGATGACGTTCGTATAGGGGAGGAAGAGGGATATGAAGGGAGTGTGACCGCATCTACTCAGAGTCAGAGAAGCTCATCATCATCCTCCTTCAAGACGAAAGGGCCAATGGACGATTTTGCGAGCCGCTTTCATGAGTTGGCCTAAGTAGTATTAAAAATAAAACAAGTGATGGACAGCAAGTACAGGAAGAAGGCAAGAGATGATGTGACCAGGTACATCGGGAGATGGTTCTATGAAGCCGGCATCTCTTTTAATACCGTAAGTATTCCTTCTTTCATACAAATGGTGCATGCAATTGGAAAGTTTGAGCCTTCTTGGATGCTCCGACACCATATGAATTGAGGGAGACTATTCAAGGGAGAGTGTTGAAAAATTTAAGAAAAGTTGTGCGCTTAACGGGTGCTCCATACTGACCGATGCTTGGAGTGATCGGAAGATGAGAAGTATTATGAATATAGTTGTGCATTCAAATGGAGGAACAACATTTTTGGGTTCATGTGATGCATCGGACGACAAGCATAATGCGAATTATATATGCAACTATGTGGAGAAAGCAATTGAAGAGTTGTGGGTGCAGAATGTCGTGCAAATTATCACCGATGGAGCTTCAAATAACATAGCAACCCCAAAAAGCTAAGCAATTAAGAAGCTAAATATATTTTGGACAACTTGTGCGGCGCACACTATTAATTTGATGTTAGCCGATAACGCCAAAATAAGACCTATTCGGAGTGCAATTGCAATGGGAAGAACCGTGTCAGTGTACATCTATAGCCACATGAGATATCTTCATGTGATGAGAGAATTTGCACGGGGAGACCTTGTAAGACCTGGGGTGACACGATTCGCTACGACATTCCTTGCTTTGGAGTCATTGAGAGGTAAAAAGAAAGTGTTCAAGCAAATGTTTGTCTCTAATGAATGGATGGAATGCGAGCTTTCAACAAAAGAAGCGGGGGAAAAGGTACGGTACAATTTAAAAGTTAAAGTTTGTAACTAGTAACTAAACATATTCATTTGCATTCTATAAAAGGTACGGTACAATTTAAAAGTTAAAGTTTGTAACTAGTAACTAAACATATTCATTTGCATTCTATATTCTATAATTCTATTGTATTATTGATTATTATGTTGTTTGTTTGACTGTTTGTAGGTTGCCGAGATCATTCATAGCAACAATTTTTGGGACAATGTTGATCTTGTCCTTAAGAGTTTTTTCTCCTTTGGTGAAGGTTCTAAGGAGAGTAGATGGTGACAAAATCTCCTCAATGGGGTTTTGTGTATGGAGACTTATTGGAGGCTAAGGAGGAGAACGAATAGGCCTTTCGGGATGAAGAGAAGAAATATCTTTTTACAGAGAAGATTATTGATAAAAGATTTGATGCCACACTTAAAGAACCACTCCATAAAGCGGGATATTATTTAAATCTTTATGTCTACTATCCAAATCTTATGAAGATTGAAAAGGATGGAAGTTTCTTGAGTTGCCTTGTTGATTGTATGAACAAATTTTATCCAGATGATGGTGACATGCTTGGCAAGATTGAAGACCAACTCTTTGATTATCAGCACTAAAAAGGATCATCCGGGCGAGAACTTGCAAAGAGAGAAGCAAAAAAGCTTAATAATAGTTCGGGTATATTTTCATTTTTCATTCAAATTAATTTGGTGATTTAACTAATTCTTGTTTGAATGTTACAAGTTACAAATTGTTTTCAACTATGACTTAACTAGTTATATGGTGGAAACTTTTTGGGACTGACGCTTCCGAATTGAGGATAATGGCAATGAGAATTTTGAGCTTAACAACTAGCTCTTCGGCATGTGAGAGGAATTAGAGTACCTTCGAGATAGCAATGGCTCTTTTTAAGTTTAAATCATATTGGATCACATTTGAGACTAATTTGTCCTCCTTCGTGATTCTACTTTGTAGATTCGTACAAAAAAGAGAAAATAAACTAACGCATCGGAAATTACATGATTTGGTCTACGTCAAGTTCAATGCAATGTTGAAGAATAAGCATTCCAACAAGGATAGAGATCCTTTAATTGCCTTTGATGATGAAAAAAGGTCCTCCGAGTGGTTGACAACTACAAAGAAGAGAGGAGGTCATCATGATGAGAGGGATGATGAAATGTTTGCAAGGGAATCTCTTACTTGGAGGCAATATGGCTAAAAAGAGAAAGTGGTAGAACAAAGCAATATAAAAGAAAAAAAAAAGTCTGGGGAATCTTCATCAAAGGGAAAGGAGCCTTTGGAAGATGAGGAGGAAGACATGGAATCTTCGGAGTCCGATTCGGATGAGGGAATGGATAATATTCCAACGTTTAGCTCCGATGAAGATTAATTTAGTTATCTGTTATGTTTGTTTATGGATAATGATATAGCTCATAACTACTAAATATCAACTTAGTAAGTTAGTTTATGAATCTCATGATTGCACAATAATTATGTAGATGCCTAGATGATTCTTCATTCTTGATGTCATCTTATTATTTGCTTGTTTATTATTCCATTTTGACTAACATTATATTTTTTTCAAGGCTATGCAATCAAATGGTTTCATCGTGCTGTCAAGATGCAGTTTCGTTTTTTACAATTGGTTAGTGATTTTAAACATCATTATTTATATTTTGGTATGTTTATATTTCATTAAACATTGTTAGATTATATTTTTTTAGTTATTATATTATACATATACACCATCCAGTATATCACTCCGATAAATACTACTTATCCCCGATATATTCCCGATTTTTGCTATCCTATAAGGATTTTGATTATCCGAGCACAAAAAATTGTGCTTAGTAATGAGGTGGCATAATCCCCTCCACTCATTCAAATGGTTGCATATCCCCATACACTCAACCCATGTGAATGTGACCCCACATTTAAATGAGTGGAGAGTATTGTGCCACCTCACTACCAAGCATAAAATTTGTGATTAGTACCAAGCATACCCATATTTCTCTCTCTCTCTCTCTCTCTCTATATATATATATATATATATATATATATATATATATATATAGATATAGAGAGAGAGAGAGAGAAATATGGGTATGCTTGGTACCAAGCACAAATTTTTGCTTGGTTGTGAGGTGGCATATTTCCTCCACCATTCAAATGGGGGGATCACATCACATGGGTTGAATGTGGTCCCCTCAATTGAATGAGTGGGATGGGAATGAGACATCTCACTACCAAAGCACAAATTTGTCTGGTAACGAAACATACCCCATTTTCCTCATATGTATATATATATTATATATATAATATATATATATATATTATTAGAATATTATAATATATTAAATGGGTATCCTTTGTCATAGGAGGAGATTTTCCTCATTCGTCTATGTGGCACAATCCCCACAATGCTCTCATAAGTAGGCACAAATCTCCAAGGCACTCAGCTCTCTCTCTCTATTTATGATGGTGGGTATTGTGTCAACATAAGGCGTCAAAGGAGGAAATCCTTCCTAATGACAAGGATACTCACTAATCTCATATATATATATAATATATATATATATTATATATAATATATATATATATATATATATATAATATATATATATATATAATAATAGAGAGAGAGAGAGAGAGGAGAGCATATGGGTATGTTTGGTCAACCAAACACAAAAAGTTAATCTTGGTAGTGATGTGTCACATCCCCCTTCACTCATTCAAATATGGGATCACATTCCACAATGGGTATGATGGGATGAGGATGTGGAACACATCACTACCAGCACAAAAATTTGTGCCTTAGGTACCATGCATACCCATTTTTCTCATATATATATATTATATAATAATAATATATATATATATATATATATACACACACAACACATAATATGTATATATATGTAAATATAAGCGTAAATATGTATGTAACTATGTATATCATATACGTATGTATGTATGTATGTAATACCTGCATGTACATATATGTATATGCTGTGTGTAGAACATATATGTATACATACTATATACATATGTGCGCGCCGACGCGATATATATATATATATATTAATAATATAATAATATATATATTAAATATATTATATAAATATATATATATAATATATATATATAGCCGTTTTCTCGTACCCTACATTTTACAATTTTGCCCTACCGCATACCCATACCCGCATCCATAACGATACCCGTACCCAATGCAAACTTAGATGGCTACCAGTTTCTTCAGATGCTTGGGCACTTTCACCACATAAGAGCCTGAAGTTCAGCGTCCCTCTTAGCAAGGCAGTAGCCCAACCGCCAAGGATGGTGCATGAACATTATACCGCTTCAGTGTCATAGGATGACAGCTTTTACAAGCAAGATGACATGTGTACAACAGTCTCGATCAGTATGCAAACTTTTCGAGTTTCTGTCTGTGCCCTAAGTTTGATTCCCATTTATATGGCCTAGGACAAAGATAAAACCATAAGCTCTGTCTCTAACCTAGAACGGAGGGTTCTTTTTTCTTATACAAAACAGAAAGGTGTTAGTTTTCGAGCTACTTCCAGATGAACTGTAACTCAGTCCTCTTCCTCTTTGTTTTCCTCTTTTACAACTACAGTTTCAACTGTGACATCCATTATAAGTTTCAAAGTTAAATGCAACCTCTATGCGACCTCCAGCTCCTCTTTTAGATATATAATTTCAAATGTGACAGCCACTATACGTTTCAAAATTAAATTCAACCTTTATGCACCTCTTTATGCTCATCATATTGCTTTCATCTTTTAATCTGGAGCACTTAACTAGCCACCTTACAGAGGCCAAGCAAAAAAAGAACCAGCATGCATAAGTGCCTTCGACAACTTTAATCTTCATTTTTTTAAGTTCTCATCATTCTCTCTTTCTTTTATGTTCCTCTTTCTTCTGCAATGTCATCCTCGGACCTCTCAACTACTGTTCTCTGCCCATTTTTTCATATCACTCCCTCTTTCATCTTGTTGACCTTATGTATGCCATATCGAAAAAAGTTACTAAGTTAATATAGGAATGGAAGCACCAATACATTCTTGTGGAACACCCTGGCAAGCAAGTGAGAAGGTGTGCATATAGCACATCAGAGTTTGGTGAATATTAAGCAGATGCATTTATTCTCTTATGACTTACTATTGAAATATACTTTGCCTGTCATAGTCATAGATATATGTATTTATAAGATAGTTCGTGCATAATTATTTATTAGTTAGCTACGCTTCTTTTTTGAGACAATGGACTCATGATTTATGGCAGACATGCTGTCACATACATCACTTACATAGTTGAGCTGCTTGATGGTATCTTGCACCCATGTCAGAGTAGTGTTCAAAGAAGCTGCTAGCATAGATAGGAGATGAGGATATGACTTGATTGCATCTTGAGTTTTACCTTTAACCCATAAATGGAGCAAATTTGATGGCTCACTACACAAATGTCAGTTTTTCCTCTTTTTATGCAGCATTGGTGATGCTAAAGAAAAGTGCATATATTTATCAGAAATTTCTTTTCTGATTAAAGATGAATGGGTATCTACCTATGGTGATGGACTGATGGTATACACAAGAAGAGCAGGATATATCATCTTCAGTATTTTGTGATTCTTCCCTATAAGAAGCATGTAAATGGCGCATATATGATACAGTTCTAAGGTATTGTGTTCTGAAATTGAGGATGTCAAATATATGCATTCCATGTAAAGTCTACATAAGAAATTACAGTAGTACTGCAAAAGTACTTCAGAGTTTATATGCAATCAAGAAGTTTCACTAAAAGAAAAATGAAATAGGGTGACCATAATCATCAAGCCTAGCATATTAACAAAAGATAGATAATCTATAATCGTGTCATCCATTAGTTCACTCACCGGAAGGTAGAATGAATAATAAGCAGTCTTGTACTGGACAATACGTTGATAACTACATGTCAAATACAAGAAACTATCGTTAGCAACTATTGATAACTACATGTCAAATACAAGAAACTATCGTTAGCAACTAAAAAACATGTCAAATTTGAAGTAAAAAAAAGTCGGGATACAAGCAGTTAGAATTATTTTAAACCAATAAGTTTTGGCTGCCAAAAACTGTATGAGAAGTGATCATAAGCTACGCTTGAAATTTTGTAAGATAAGAGCATGGTAAAATAATAGCACAAATTATGAAAGACTATTATAAATGCTTCACATACACAGGAAAATTATATTTTGACAGGTCTTGTTCTCCATCATGAGTTGTGATCAGATCAAGCATCTGCCCTGAAGCTGTCTGAAATTCTACCTGGCAAGACATACTATTTATTTGTCGCATGATGAGCTAAAGAATCAAAATTGAAACCATAACATCTATTTTAGATTTATTTACCTCATTGAACAAATCTAAGAGGTCAACATAGTAAGGCTTTTCCTTGAAATGTAGTTTTAGCATCCGTGGGATGTGGTTACGAAGTAAAACCCCGTCATTTACAGCAATAAGTCCAACCTAGTGAGCAATATGAGAAATTATCAGTTCTTTATAGTAAGATGAATACAATAAATATAATTACATATTACAAGATTATTTGAGTCAGACTTAGTCCCTAACAAAACTATCTGAATTAAGCATAACATTTGAGGAAAAACTCATACCGGATTAATTCAATAAAAGGAAATTAAAAAGCACAAATATTTAGCCAAATTACCATAGCTTCTTCCCCAAAAGACAATAACAAGCAGATATCTCACATGGGTTTTATCTAGAAATATTTATGGTAGACTATGGTTTTCATGACTCAATGACTAAATGTTCGCATTGTCTGATGGAGGAACCATAGAAATCTTAACAGTTAAGCATGCTCTGACAGGAGGACTACAGTGACGGGTGATGACCCATGGAATGTATTTGCTCAGGGTGTTACGAAGATACGTATCTATAAAAGATTTTTGACAGCCACAATAAATGCCACATCCGGCATCCAAAATCACATAGAATATGTACTCGGATTGGTATTGCACCTTAGAATGCATAAAGTAGAAAGTTAAAAATCCTTGAAATCTACGAGGTTAAAATTGTTCTGGAGTATGTGAAAATCTGGAAGTGAAAGTGAATAGGTACAATAATACACTAAGTTTGCAATTAGTTAAAGAGCCATATTAATACGAAGATTCTAGAATACAACCCCTCATAGTTAGGGGTATAACTCATCGAAAATGAATTACAGTCTCTAATCTCCCCTTTGCATATAAAGCATTGATCCACATCTTCAACAGGATGTCAACTTAAAAGGTTGTGTTAATGCTAAAGAACTCAGTGCTATGGTTTCCTCCCTGTAGGGTTCCTCAACCAGCTCCATTGACAGGGCATCACAACATGGAAGTTAATTTAAATAGGAAGATAAGATGAGTACTTAGGTTTCCAAAGCAGACTTATTTTGACCCAGGTTTCTCGAGAGAGATTTAAGATCTTAACAAACAATGCCTAATAAGATATTATGGTAAATAAAAATATTGTGGAAAACAAGTCATTTTGAAATCAGTTACTTGCAAAGTATTCAAGATTAGTCCCCAAAATCTTCATGTTTAGAAATTAGTCCCCAAATCTGTTAAATGTTTTAAATTGGTCCTTCTAGTTAGCAGTTGGTGGAAAGATTTAGGGAACTAATTTCAAAATACTTAAAGATTGGGGGGACTAATTTCAAAATATCTAGATCTGGGGAACTAAATTCAAAATATGAAAGATTTGGGGGACTAATATTAGATAAAATCCCCAATTAAACAAAGAAAATTTGCTTCTATCAACCCAATCAAACAAGTTGATATTTTTGGTCTAAACTCTCGTAGAAAAAGAAAGAATATAAGAGGAAGATAAACTAGAACATCAATCATTTTCTCAAACTATCACGGATAGAGAAAAGAATATAGGAGGAAGATAATAAGATCATTTACTTGCATTGAACTAATATACAAGACAGTCAATCATTTTCTCAAATTATCACAGATAGAGAAGAGAATATAGGAGGAAGATAATAATATTGTTTACTTCCTCAATATTGGGATTCTGTGGCAGGATGTTGACAAGGAACGGAAAAGCGCCGAAAAACTTCAGATGAGCAGTACTCGGTGAATAGTGCTCCGGTGAACAATGACAAACAGTTGTGAACAGTAACTTTTTCTTTTTTAAAACACAAGATCAACTAAGTAAAAATAAATTAGGGATAGAAGATAGGTGGTTATAACTTTTTCTTTTTTAAAACACAAGATCAACTAAGTAAAAATAAATTAGGGATAGAAGATAGGTGGTTAGACCGGTTTCACACACAGACATCTAATCTTTTATTAATCATAAACCCTCTGCCACCTTACAAGAATCCCTTCACTCTTTTATAGAGTTTGAAACCTTTATCTAAACAAAATAACTCCAAAATCAACTCAACCTAATATGTAAAACAAATTAAACAAACTTAAACCTATCCTAACAGAAATAAAATCCAATACCTAATTCTAGTATATCTAAAATCCAACGTAATTTTAAAATCCTAACAAGTTTATCCCTACACTCTGAATCAAATTGATCTTCGAATTTGTCCGGCATCAGTTCTCCCCTTGTTGACGGGGAACTGAATAACCAATCCTATTTATCATCATTTCCGCTCCGCATCATCCAGTATCAGAGCTGAATGATCCATCTTCTCTCCAAAAATGAAGAAAAAACGATCTACTTCATGATCTCAAATTATCATCTGATTCAAAGCCCGAGCAAGATCAAAGTGCCTTCATGATGACACCGCAGAAGCCTATGATCTCTTCTTAGTGTTCTCGATGAGGACGTCGGATTTAAAGAGAGGAAGATTTGATTTAGGACATCTAGAAGATTAGATTACCTAGGATTTTTAGGATATGATTTTTAGATATTTGAATAGAATTAGAGCAATTATTTGATTAGATTTATTTTTTTATTGGTTTTGATTAAATTTATTATTTAGAATTTGGATTTATTTATTGCTACAAAAAAGATTTTAATATTTTATTTTAGAGATAGTGAATTGATATGAATAAAAGTTGTAAGTTTTGAGTGACATTTTGGAGTGAATCCGCATCCTTTCTTATTCCTCACATAATCATAATTCTATTCATCAATCAATGTTCTTTCCTTATGGAGGATACAAACTATTTATAGAATAAACTTCACATTAAAGATAACATCAAATCACCTAAACCTTATCTAATAAAACTGAAAATATTATTCTAACCAAATATCTAAAAGAAACATCTAAAAAGATAAACTCTCAAGCTGCAAATCCCTATCAACTAAAATAAAATCTTCTAAATAAAATCCAAACTAAATTACCAAATAAAATCAACTCAATCTTAACTTGCTCTGCATCAAATCTCCCCTTGTAGGTCGAGTTTTATAAAGAGAGTATAAAAATTCTTCAATTAGTGGGTAATATTTTTGTATGCACTGCGGGATCTTTAAAATTATCTGCATAACTCGAGAACGTGTAGGTGGCGCAAGATTTGGAATGACAAACTCTATTAGCGAATTACCATAGAGTGGAAGTATCTCGAACTGCACTTTAACTTAGAACTCGGGCTTTAGGTTTGATTCAAGCTCGGCCTTTGGGTCAACCTTGTGCTCAGTCTTTGGTTCAAGCTCGAGTTGAAGTTTGTGCTCTGAATTTATCTTCTGATTTTCTTCTTTTCTGGATCTTGTTCAGATTCGAGCACTGGATTAGGTTCATGATCTGATTTTGATTCCAAATCTAGTTCAGGTTCTACTATCGGTTTTGGTGTCGACTCCGATTTTAAATCTAGATTTGACTTGGCTTCATATTGTAGATCCCCATCTAATTGGGTCAACGATACTTTTGTCTCGAGTTTTGAAGAAAAATAGTAATATTTTTCTAGTTCTAGTTGGATAACTAGAATTACTCCTTTCAAGCAGAAACTTTATCGGTGCCCATGAACGTATATGGGTGATGACTAGAATAATTGTGACTAAAACAACTAAACCTTGAGCTTCTCCTTCTAGCCTAAATTTAGCTTACATATACATCTCCCAATCCGAAAAATCATAACTAGAAAATAAATCTTCTAAGTCTTGCATCAAGAGCTCAAAATCATATTTCTCTTCATATCCATCAAACCCATAAAAGTAAGATACATTGCCAAATTTCAAATGATTAAATTCAAGTTGTTGTGATGAAGTGGATGTTTATCCATGATTATCGTGGACCACTAAACTTCCCCGATACCAAATGATGCGAAATGGAGGTGAAGATGCACAACACCGTGTGAGCAGTAACGCTTGAATAGTCAATGAACAGTATTTTTAAAATAAATTCGGAATTAAAAATAAATAAATAGACTAAACCGGGTTCACTCACGACATCTAACCTTTGAAAATAATATAAAAGGTCGGCTTCACACAAGGACCTAATCAAAAAAACATGGCTTTACACATGGAATCACTCGAAAGTATCACTCAAAAGTCATAATTTTTATTCATATCAATTCTCCATCTCAAAAATGACACATTACAATCCTTTTTAGCAAAAAAAAATCAAAATTCTAATTGATAGATCTAATCAAATCTAATAAAATGACAAGATAGTAAATCCAACCAAATAACTAATCCAATCCTATCCAAATATTTAAAGATCATAATAAAATGACAAGATAGTAAATCCAACCAAATAACTAATCCAATCCTATCCAAATATTTAAAGATCATATCCTAAAAATCCTAACTACTCTAATCTTCCAAATGTCATACATCAGATGTTCTCTCCAGTAAACACAATTCTCAATAGTCATTACAGGTATATCTAAATTCTTTCGCTTAATCCACTCTTCATTTTTAATTTTTAAAAGATCAGTAGGCTGGTGAGTCATTACTAAAACATGATTCATGCATGAAAACACCAAAAATTAGGTAATAAGCTAACCTACTATTGTTGTAACGCCATACAATCAAAAGATAATTATTTCTAAGGCTTTTTCCCCTAGAAAACACCTTTAAAATAGGGCCATCATATAGAAGAAACTACATCTGAATGTCAATCAATATATAAACTGTATTTAAAGTAGGTTTGTGTTGCAATCAACCGCCTTTCAAACATGAATGTGAATGTCAACGAAGGGAAATATTTAAAGTAGGTTTGTGTTGCAATCAACCGCCTTTCAAACATGAATGTGAATGTCAACGAAGGGAAATAAGGCCAACTATAAATCCACTTGATTGGTTCATCATGGAGTTTCTCCAAAATTTGAGGCTTTTTTATGATTAAGTGGTCATTCATACATCATCATCTAAGGCAATAAAAAATTGGCCTTTGCAATTTAATAATAAATGACTATTTTAGCAAATCAATCACTAAAATTTTTGATCTTTTGCAATAGTCAAGAAAATCTTTTATGATAATAGTGTTAATATGATTCACCACGTCTGTTACAAGAATGGATGCATGGGTTACTGCATCAAGATATTCGTAAGTGATTACATTGCTTGAGTTTACTGTAGAAGCTTAAGTACTACCACCGCAAAAATCATATATTGCTCCCAATAAAGTGCACAGGCACAAGAAACTTCTCAAACGGCCTCCAACAGAATGATTGACTATACTTGAATGCTATTGTAAATGGAAGTTTTCATTCTTAAAAGATGGCCATTTGTATTTGTTGTTTTACCCAGAATAGCACAAGGACCTAAAGTTGATGATTTCGCATACTGGTTAGCCTGTAGGAACCAGTGATCATTATTCCTTATGCTACTATTTCTTTTAACTTCATTTTTGAGATAGTCTAGGGAGAAATAAACAAGTTGGCCTTTATGAGGCATGGGCAGGAGTAAGCATCCTGTGTGCTCTAGCAGACATTGGCTGCTAGTCAGCTGCGTGTGTTGTCTCTCTGTGTGTGTTATTCAGGACATTACTCCTTTTCTCATTTTAGAACAAACCTTTAGATAAAAGATTGTCTAATACAATAATGATATGCACCAACATAGTGTTATGTCTTCGTAAAACAATATAGCCCATGTGAAAAGGATGGATGTGAAACATCAATCTATAATAATGAAAAACCAATCTGAGTTTTAGCTTATTAGTGGAACTTCAAATTAAATGTCCCGAGCAATAGCATCAAACGTTGAAAGAATTCTGTTAAAAATATAAAAGGTTAACTAGCCAACCTTAGGAAGTCTGAACCAACAAGGCTGGCCTCTCCTTGTGTGGGAATTATCCATGATATCATCGACTACGAGAAAGTATGCTTGCAACTGCATATATCATCAATGAAAGAATCTCAAAGTGGGAAGCAAACCATGAAATGTAACTATTTTTAATTTAATTGCTTAGAGGAAGATGCTTATAACTAAGAACGTGAAAGGTGATTGTTTACCCATTCAATGTAATTTAATTGCTTAGAGGAAGATGCTTATAACTAAGAACGTGAAAGGTGATTGTTTACCCATTCAATGCACCAACCAAGGACACTTGAAAGAAAGAATTCATCGTCAGTGAGTTGGCTTCCTTCTTTCAACAATTTGTAGCTATCAACGACAGAGATACCACGGTTTAGCTTTCCTGCAAACATATTATCTCCATGTCAAAATGGTTCATGAATAAGTACTGGGGCTTAATTTAATAACTATAAAAAATCAAAAATTGTGAACCCTCGCACATGATGTGTCAGCATTATTTAAGAAATGCAGGCTGGGTATGTTACTCAATTTGATAGCATATGATCAACTTATAAGCAGATAGCTGCTCACCTCCAGGTACATTATAGTCCAGCATCTGCCACAGAAGCAACCATGAAAACAAAAGATTATTGAGTCATCCAAATATGAGAGGTTAATGAGTTATATAGCAATTATAAAATGTCAAACGATCTTAAAAAAACACATAATGATGAAAAATATCATATACAGTTCACAGCGTTTCAATCCAAGTATAACTGAATTGATTGAATAAATACTTTCCAAGAAATTCTACTTATTGGATAGAATGGTCATGACCACTTCTGACATTATTAAAGTATATCTAACTGTTATAGGAAGAAGGCGAAATTCCACCACTTTAAAAGTCCATAAAATTTTCTTAAGTCGTAACCGAAAATTGACATTTGAGTTATTCGATTTTCAAAGACCAAAAGCAACGCAAACATTCACGACGATACACGAGCAAGATCCAAGAGATCCAACGATTTTAGAGTACTGCTCACCCGATCGATCCATTGGCGGGAGTCATCGGTGTAATCGAAAGCGGGATCCTCGAGGATCTCCGATTTGAGGCGGGCGTATATCTCGACGAACCTCGACTTGGTATCGACCGCGCTCCCGTTCGAATCCGCCATTGATGGATCCCGATAGAGAGGGAGAGAGTAGCGAGTGAGGGGATGAAATCTCAGATCTCGTCTCTTATGAGTGGGATAATTAGTATGATATTTTTTTTATAATATTATATTTATAGCTCAATTAAATTCAAGTTTAACTTGACATAACATCAAATAATTAAATAAATAATAGTTATAATATAAATAATATAAAATAATATTATTTTTAAGATTATTTTAATATAAAATATTAAAAATAATATAATATTATTAATATTAATCAATCTTAAAATATTTTGATGTTTATTTTAACCATTATGCTAGATTAACAAATTTTTTAATTGCAATAATTATTTAATCATTCATACATCTATTACAATGACGATGATAAAGTCTCAATTATTACAAATAAAGTCTCAGTCGGTAACTTAAATCTTAATTATTACAAATATAATCTATCGGCATATAACTTTGCTCTAGACTCCTTGGGCTACGTTTGTCCCATCCTCCCACATTGTGTTTGCCATTTGTTCTCTCCAACGTGATGCAGCTGTCCGTTGTGCTTGTTGAGTTTGTAGGTCATCGTCCTCATCAGAATCACCATCAATCGGAGCAACATTGCGTGGTGCCTCTAGAGGAAGATCAGAAACTTCAAAGTCATCGTTAGAGTTCTCCATCTTCAGAAAATTATGCAGACCGATACATGCCCAGATCATACTTTTTTGTGCTCATATGGAAAACCTGGAGGTTGAGACTTAAAAATGCCAAAAATACGTTCAATACAATTTCTAAGTGATGCATGTCGATGGTTGAATAACGCAAATATCATCCTACAACGCAAATATCTTGAGAGTACTCTTCAACATTTTGAGTTTCCGAAGCAAAATTCATCCTACAACGCAAATATCAATAATGAGTTTCCATATTTTGATGATTAAGTCCACTTAGTTGTCAGCATGGAGGTGATCATGAAGGTTAACTTATACTATATATATAACTATATATATATATATATATATATAATATTATATATTATATATATATATAATATAGATATATATATATATATATAATATATATATATATAGTATATATATATAATGAGATTAATGGGTATCCTTGTCATAGGAGGGATTCCTCTGACGTCTCATAAATCATATGATTAGCGACATTATGGATGATCCGCTCCGTTGAACTTGATCTACATATTTCTAAATCCCAACACACCAAGTTTGGGGTGAACCCTCGTCGTTTGACCCTCCATCGACCCACGTGAAAAGTTCAATTCATTCAAACCGTTAAACATTGATACGAGGGATGAAGGGTCAAACGACGACGGTTCACCCCAAGACGGTGTGGTTGGGGTTTTAGAATATGTAGATCAAGTTCAACGGAGCGATCATCCATAATGTCCGTCAATCATGTGATTTTAAAGGCGTCATAGGAGGAAATCCCTCCTATGACAAGGATACCCATTAATCTCTCCTCTCTCTCTCTCTCTCTCTCTCTCTATATAATATAATATATATATATATATATATATATATATAATATATATATATATATAATATATATATTGATGTTAAGCCAGATATGTTGGTGTTTAGCGACTCTATGAGGACATCAATGGTTCTGCTTAGAACCTGCACATGGAAAACGTGAAATAATCCTATCTTGTAATTGGGGGATTGATCCGATAAGCCATTGTAATTAATTTTTCCATTCCAGAGTTTTAGTGCAATATTATAGTTTAAAGGGTCAGTACAAACTTTGGTTGGCTGTGTCAATCAGGTTTTCCCCCTAGGATCTTTAGTGAGGGTGACGGCCAGGGTCCTCTCCCCTCTCTATAGCTTCTTATGGTGGAATCCTGATTAGCCTAGCCATTAATGTAACATATTACTGGAGTTTTGGTATTAATGAATTTTTACTTATTTTTCAAATATAATATATATATAATTATATATATATATATATATAATATATATAATATATATATATATATATATATTATGTTCAATACCGACACTGCAATGCTGGGCATTTTTATCCACTACAATATATTTCCACTACAATAAATATCTGTTATAATTACTACGGTCCTTTATATTTTCACAAAACTACCACTTTGCGCGTTAATGTGTTAAAACTACCACTTTGCAATATAGATCCTTTATATTTTCACAAAACTACCACTGTAATAAATTAATATCGGTTATTCTTTGTCAGTCAGACGACAAACCGTCCCTCGAACATCTAAGCTGCTTAGACAAATCTCTATCGGAATATACTTAATTTGGAGTATTTATTAATAAATGCTCAAATAATGGTATGGGAAATGGAAAATATCTTAATACAAGTGTATCATCCTTTTTGTCTTAAATAATTGTATAACAATGAAAATAATGGGCTCTGTTTCAAAGGATATTTTCTGCTTTCATTCTCTTGTACAGAAAACCAAACTATTTGCATGTTATCTCATCTCTATAAAATTATGGATTTATAGGTAAAACATTCATTAATACTTCACAATTCTGCTACATTAGTCTTTAAAAAAAAGGTTCAAGCTACAGGAAAATATACAGCTTACACCATATGGCTTTGGTTTTAAAAGTACACCTTATACTCAACTATTTAGGACAAAAATGTAGCAAGTTCCAGTAAAATATGAATACACTGCATACCAAACTATTTAACACATAAAATAGAAAAATGGAAAGTGTCTTATACTCATTGATGAGGCGGTGCCACGGAGGTGATGGCGGCAGCGACCGAGCCCGAGAACGACAGCGGCGGAGCGGGCGTTTGAG